TTTAAGATGCAAAATCAATCTCAGAAACGGGTTTTCTAAATGGTGCTTTAAACATGTACATTTTCAATCAACTAAAACTGGGGGAGCTACATTATGGGAAGAGTTGTCTCACAAATGTTAGATAACTTTAATTTTAGATGATAAAGTGGGACTCTGATCAATCTGAATGGGAGGGGTAGGCTATATTTAAATACTTGTAAAAATCCCCAAATAAAGGTAATAAAAATATTTTATTCTTGTCCATCAAGTATCTGAGTGCCTAGATCCTCTGATAACCTATTTCACCCAATCCCTAGAATAAATGAAGTAGAATTCTCTTCCAAAACGTCTCTTTTAAAAGTCTCTTGTAAGTGAATTCTCTCTCTACTCTTCATGAGAATTTCAAAATCTGTGTACAAAATTAATTTCTCCTTCATTATTGTTATTGTTGTTTGTTTTGAGCATCATTTGGCATGTTGAGGTAAAAAAAAACGTTAACAGTGTATTCTTATAAGGAAGAAGAAAAATCACTTAATTGAGTTATAGATTGAGAAGGCAGGATATGGTCTATCATCATCAGAGTCTCCAGGCCACTTTCAATATGTTCAATGTAATTGCTTTCACTAAACCATCAATGAGGAAGTAGTCCAGTATATTGTGAAGGATGCTATATCACTGAAAATGCCATTAAGACCCATCATACTGTCAGCTTGCTCATGGTATGATAGCTGAGGGGCTACATGTATCAGGAAGTTAGGCCCCATGAGCAAACTAACTGTATGGGGGTCTGGATAGCAGTAGTGCAGGAGCCATGCATGAGTTATTTACCTCCTCCCCTTGCTATCTTTTTCTCAGATTCAGATAATCTCCTCAGGTAGAAATTAGGGATGTTAACTGGGGATTCAATCATCATCAGTTCAAGGATTTCCTATTATGTTGTATGATACCAAGCTAGACAGAAGGATGGGAAGCAGATGATGTCTGTCTGGAGTATGCAAAGGGATTGTGTCCAAATACCAAAACTTGTCAAAAACAAAGTTTGGCTTTAAAGCCCTACCCTCATTACTAAATAATAATTTAGTTTTAATTCCAAAGTCAGAGGATTTGGGTGAGAAATCAACATTTCGCAAAACAGAACTGGTTTACCCCCCTCCCAAACCAATATTATGATACTCTCCCTGACACAGGTTAGCATTGTAACTTCTCTATCAGTCATAACAGACCAGTAATCATTAGTTCACTAAATTGTTCACATTTTAACACTCTTAAAATAGACCACTTCCTAATTAATGGATTAATCAGCTCATCAAGAAATTAATCAAATCAATCAATTTATCATACAATTAATCACACTATCTCACTAGCTGCCCATTGCCTTGGCTCTATTAAATCATTTTAACACACACATATATATAGATAGAAGACAGCCCCCCCCCCCCAGCAAAAAACTGGCTTTGGGCCAATATGGTCAAATGTGACCCCCCTCTAGATTTTTAAAAAGTGAAACCCCTTTACAAATGCTGGCTACAGACATTGATAAACTAACACATTAATTTCTTTTCAACTTACAAAAAGATTCTGTTGACCGTAACGACTTCTTCTTCCCGAAGGTAAATCGAGGTTTTGATGCCCCATAATCCGCTTGGTTCATTGAATATGTCCTTCGTGGCATGATGATTTTTATAACTTAATACCCTCCAATGTTATCCTTCTAATTTTGTCAATTTGTCTTTCGCTATTACTTGCATGTATTTCATGTATCCATTACTAAAATGTTGATTTTGTTATTTAAATGCAGCATAAGGTTACCACATGAGTTGTCCAGGATTCAGTGTGACTCGGGTGAGACTAGAAGGCATGACTAGCAGGCAAATCCTTGTTTTGGGTGTTAGTTATATAACCGCTTAAAGCCCAAATACTTCGATTATTATCTTTCCATTATTTCCTTGTCCTAGTTTTATAAGCTTTATTGTACATTTGTTGATATTATGGCTTGAAAGCTGTTAACTATAACTTGATCACAATCAAATGAAAAAGATTAAATTTTTCAAATATTCCGCATATCAATTTCCTTTCAATGTTGAGCCAGTTAAACCTCACGCATGTATGATCCAGTGCATTAAAAACCTAAAGTGATCTCATGGCCATTGATATCTATTAAAATCAAGTCCAAATTGTTTCAAATCACACAAACACAAAACAGGATATTTCCGCTGTTTCCACGTCCAACTTCGTGGGTGACTTCCAAATATGATGCGTAATCAACAAAAAATCTCACAAAAACTGAAATTGACCCCCTCCATGCAATGTACATGTATTATATGATTTTGGCTATATATTTATCTCACCATGCATAAGGCCCAACATATGAAAATACAAGCAATCAAGTGGTATAATTTGAGCAGTATCCTATTGAGGGTTAAGAGTTTGGCAATATGTTGCATGTACCCATATTTAGAACAGCCCCTCTATTAAAGTTAACCCTATCATGACTACTACAGTGACACTAAAGACACAATATGAACAGATACACATGCTACTATCAAGAAATAATAAGCAAATCTTTTCACAAAAAATATCTAAATGCGTGCACATTTTCAAAGACAAATATTTTAAGAATATTTTGCGCCAAGATCACAGTTTTGTTACTTGCTTATTAATCTTTTGCTTGAATGAAATATTAAAAATCACTTGATTTTGATTTTGATTATTTTGATAAATTAAGCATGAACAAATGATGATCAATTTTCACAAGGTGGTTTATTATAGAGGAAAATGTTACCTTTTAGATGAAGCTCTCTTTTAAACAACAAAATCAATCTATTAGAGGGTGGAAATATGTGGAATGTCACTGGTAAAAAGTTCTGATATTGCGGGTCTTCAATATTCTATGATGGGAGTCATGTGAGGAGATTTTTTATTAGTGAGATATTTACTTTTGGGAGTGTTCATATAAGAAAGGTGTTCATTTTCATAATTTTTACCTAAATATTTTCAAAGTTGTTCAAAAAACTAATGAAGGGTTAAGATTGCTGGCTAAGTAAAAATGTCATACTGTGATTTTTAATTAGTGTAAAATGAATAATCTTCGTTTTTTACTTCACCTTTCATGTCTAGAAGCTAATAACATTAACATAGAACATATTTACTAAAGTAGTAGCTTTGAAAAGATCAACCATTTGTTTGGAACAGCAGGGTCACAGTGAATACATTTCTCATGCAGATGCGAAACTTTTTACGTTTTTTTGCAAGGCATGAGCTAACATGCATACCGACTTAATTCCCCATTTAATTAATATCTTAACTAAACACTTCAATACAGAAAGGTGAATGCATGAAAGTTGGAACTGTGATCTTGATATCGAGAATGCTTCTATTTTCATGTAGCTCAATGCAGGACAATGCTGTTTGAATTTAATAAAATGTGAATTAATATAATTGCAATCAGAATATTCATTTATAATACCACAATTATAAATACAAAGTACAATGTACTCAAATTTCTAATATATTTCAATGTTTACTTTATTGATATATTTGCATGAAATGCAGTCAAGATATTCATTAAAAGTATTACACGGCCTGTTATAAATCTCACATTTTTAAGCCCAAAGGCCCGTATATAGTAGAGTCCCAAAGTCCAGGTGAATTATAAAGCCCTTAACAGACGTCCCTACAATGTTTGACATGTTCACAGGGCACAGCTTTATCTGCTGGTTATATTGAATAAATTGTTCAATTCTCCAAGAGGCAATATTAAGCAGTGATACCACCACTATGAAACAAGTTGCTTCACTCTCTGGAATTTGTAACCCACTTTTGAAATACTGTACCACCATTATTTCCATTTGCTTTAGCCACCACTTATTAAGTAAAAAAAATGTAGAGATCCGTGTTTATATTTCAAAGGTTTCATGGCCATAAATCAAACAAGGCATTAACATGCAAAATGTCACCACCTGCCCTTTGTTGCAGATGCCGACCGCTGTTACAGACACCGAATACCTACCAGCGAACACAATCAACAACAAAAATTAGAAACCATGGCAATTGAAAGTAGACTAGCCCATGATCCAACATCCTCCTAAGCAGGTATCCAGAATCCGTACCTCCTTCTTCCCCCTGCTATAACCAATTTGGAGGCGCCCGATTAAACTGAATCACGTGATCTAATTATGCGCAATGACTTATACATGATTTCTGTCGCAATCAGATTGCGAGTTCTTAATCGGGGAAATGCTGCTTATAGCAGGGTGTAAAAAGAAAGAAGATATTCTGGATTTTGAAGCCCTGTGATCGGAGGATGATGATCCAATCAATGAAAGAACTGAATGGTCAGAACTGAATGCCATGCATGCCCTGCCATCTTTAGTTAAAATTTTGAATATTAATGCCATGAATGTGCTGCCATCTTTAAAAGATGAAGGTTTCATTTTAATGTAGAAGTGAAGTATGTATACTTTTAACTTGCCCTTGATATAATCTTGCTGTCAGGCATCGTCCTAAAGGATTTAGATATAAATCTCCTCATTAATAAGCTGCCTAACCTGTACTTAACATATAAATTGCTCATGGTGATTTTGTGCTTTCTTATAAATTTTCATGATTTCTTTACAATCCTAGCACAGTTTGAGACTACTGACTACTTTTGATTCATGTTTTAACTTTTTATGTGTATGTACATGTGTATTCACGATCAATATTTTAAATATAATTTAATATGGCCACAGTCTCATTTCAGATGTAGGTGATCCATGATAAAAATATATTGCTAACATACTTGACCAGCTAGCAATTACTGTTTCAGGAAAACTACTTCAATGACATTTCAGTACACTTGTACTGTAGTTCTGTACCTGTCATTATGTAATCAACTCAATTTTCTGTGCCAATGTAATCCAAAATAGCTTAACAAACTGTTCAATCATGCCTCAGAGAAAGAAATTTAGTGAATGAAAAAGCCTCTATGTGAGCGAAGATGACATTGATCCCAAAGATCATTGATAATATAGTGTACGAACCTTTTATGTTAACAACTGTAATCTCATTAATGTTGTACTCTGCTAGGGGACGTGCCATATTTAAGGGCTCGTCACGATTCTTTGGGTGCTGTAACTCATATTTGTATGGGTCAAGATTCTTTTCCTCGCAAATTCTTCGGAAAATCTCCGCTAGCGTTGATGCATGACTTATCCGCATGATCATCTTCTGGTTGCGCGGTAGGTTCACCACGAGCCTGTTAGTTACCTGTAAATATAGATGGCAGAACATTCTTTTACTAAACAAAAATCTTCAAGAAAAATCATGTGAAACTAGACTTTTACTTAGACACATCTGGGCAACTGGTGAAACTTTTGATTGATTCAGCTTCAATTCACAATGAAACTAGCACAAATCTGAAGTTTTCCCACATGTTTTTATGTAAACTGTAAATATTTATTCACAGTTAAATACCTTTTACTTTAGATAAAAGATACATTCGTTAACCGCAAAAATGACTGGAAAAAGACAACTGCCTATGTTAGTTTCAATAAATGTGTTTTCTAAGATAATTGCAGTGTATGTTATTGTTTCTGCCCTGTGATCTCAGGTACCCCAGCTAACATATACATGTACAATTGCGTTTAACATATCTCAAACATCATGCCTTGAAAAAATGTGAGTTTTGTGCTACTAGGCATGATGTTTGAGATACATTAAATGCCAGTGATATAAGGCAAAACAAAAATATTGAGAAATTTTTTGAATAAAGCTTTTAAAAAATATATGTGGACCCATCTTTTTCTTCAACATTCAATTTTTTGCTCCTAGAAACTAGTTTCGATAAGTGTCTCTAATAATAAGTTAGGATTAGCTAGGTCATGTTCTTAAAAATACAATTGTTTTAATCCTTTAAGTGCACAGTCACCTGTCCTGATCAAATAAACTTTAAAAGAACACATAAAAGCTAAAAATACCTCAAATGATATTTTAATGACATTGGCAAAGATTGCAATATAAAAAAAACAGCCAGAACATTTAAATATCTTCAAGTGATCCCTCCAACTTGAGGTGAACTTTTCGAGTCAAACCAAAAACTGACAAAATATTCATTTTATCTCATTGACCTCCTTTCTCAAAGTATATCAAGGAAATGCTTAATATTTCAGTATTTCAGTCAATTTAAAAAAGTAGTGTTCACAAATGTTCTCTCTGACCTTACAATCTGAATTAAACTAGTTTTTAACTCATTGATATGAAAAATATATGTAGAAATGTACATGCACAAGATGTTTTAAGGCTTAGAGGCAGGGTGTTTAATTACAGGTTGCCAAATTTTATTCAATGTTTACTTTCTTTTCACAAAATATTTGTTTCCCATGGCGATTAATTCTACATATATATGATTTTGAAAATGTCAACACGCATATGTTTGATGTTATTAGAGTACTTGATAACTTTTATTAGCAATATGATATCTTGAGTCATAGATGTGATATGTATAGTCTTGTTTCAACCCATTGTGACTCCAATTCACCTTTCATTATTACAACATGGGAAGTGTGAAGTCTTGAGACTTATTTCAGTTATCCTTGAATTCCAGTGAGGAAATTGAACTTATATGTACAGTTAAAGTATAGAAATAGGACGTATGTTTTGTGTTTAATTCCTGGACCTTGTTTTCTCGAGTTAATCTGCTTCAATAGGTGAACCGCTGATTGATCAGTTATGCTGTATTTCTGATCATGTCCACTGAATTTCCTTTTGGACATGTTTCATTTAAAGCTCTATGATTTTGAGTAATACTTTAAAATCCCTTTGATTCTTGGGAATGGCTTATGCCAATCATGTTATATTTTAAGATCTGACGCTCTCTCAAAATTTGAACCGTTAAATACGTTTTTAAATAAACAAGACATTCAAAGACAATTACTGGCAGGCTTTCTATGTTTAAAATCTCCTTGTATTTGTAGAAAAGCTCAGTTCCAGTAAAACATATTAATACACATGTGGTCATATCTCGTTCAGGAAATTTTCCCCCAAAAAAGTCATTTTAAATATATTTTTTTATCATTTTAAGTGTCATATTATTTTGTCTATTCATACCATTCTTTGCTATAATTTTCTCTCAATAGAGTCAAATTATCTAACATATTGTGTATCAAACCTGACCTTGATATTTTGTATGGGATTCAAGATCAACAGTCAAAATTTGGCATACTGTATTTCCCATGAAGATAATCATTCTTGGTCAGGCCTTTTTTATACATTTCCTCACTATATTTGATTGAAATATTTAAATAACAAGTATTTTTGTATAATCTAAAGTGTATTCTACAATCTAGTTTATTTTAGTTCTTGCTAATTCCATCCCTTTTCACTTTATTTTGCATTTTAAAACGTGACCAAGATGATAATAGTTCATGGTTTCCTTTTCACCTAATCTATTTGTGATTGTGAATGGAAGTGAATTAATGTAGGCAAACATTGAACTGTATTTATGAAGAGTTACATAAATCCTTTATTTAAAGTGCATTGAGTATTTGAAGCCAAATCAAGATTACTTGTATGTGTTTTTAGCAGATAAGTAAAAGATGTGGATGGTCCAAGACAACATACTGTTATACCAGAGTATCATTTCAATCATATACTTGTAATACCTTGATGGATCAAGATGGCCAGACAATGAGAAAGCACAAAAATTGAGCACTGAATTAACACATTTTGGATACTATATCTAGTTTTCATACATGTTAACAGTGTTCGCGTTGACGCCGTTTTTTGCCATTTTTACAGAAATTTCAGAAGGTTGGACGTAAAAATCAAAATGAACTTACGTCCCTAGGACGCAAAAATTATAAACTGCTTCAAGATAACTTTTACTGCAGCACAGTAGCGGTGAAACATGATTTTCATCAAGATTTTCAAACTCACTACCTTGATATACGAGCAATGATTGAGCAACACATTGAGGTGATCCGATAACACATGAAAGAAAAAAAACTAATTACTGAGCTTCGAAAATTCATGTCAACTTGTTCAAACCTGATTACACACTTCATTTGGTTTCAATGAAATATACACTATTCTAGATGATTTAGTATAAACTTTCAATAGCTTTTTTAACTTATGTATAAAAAATTTTGTGAGCATGAATAAAAATCATTCTCAACACTTTTTTATGAGCTTATTAACCAAGTTCGGAGACACATGACACAAAAGAAAAATATTAAATCAACAGTTTACGACAAAATTATAGTCAAAATCGTTTGTGTAAATTACTTTAACAACTTGTATGTCTTAACCTGCTTTAAAACTGATGACAGATTGAACAATGATTTTGATGTTTTTTTTAGTTTGACGTCATGTCATGTGTACATTGACTGTTGACATTCTGCACAATTAAATAAGACATGAATACAATGCAAGATGGTATTGGTTTAAAGCTGACCATACTCTAAAGTAACCAGATTGACATTCAAGGTTACAACTAAGTTCCTCTGTTGAACATACTAACATTATACTGCATTATTTGAATTAGAGTGGACTTCAAACTAGAATTTATGTATTCATGTTTAGATTAACAAAAACCATTCTGATATTCATCATATCTTTCTGTTTCACCAAAAACATGGCTAAGGAGAGATGAGATGTCATATGGTTTATCATGATGACAAAAAATATTTTTTGAGTGAAAGTGAAAACATTTGACCTGCACATGCTTTGCCAGCTTGGTCTACTGGAAATTGAACAATTTAAGAATTTCCACCTTGAGACTGATTCTCTGAGCAAATATTTCCCCCTATTGGCGAAACACTTGTTGCACATGTAAATACTTCTGAAGAGTCAGAGATTTCAATCTTCAAAAGAAATACAAGCCTAAGTTCAAACACAAATTTCTTTATTGGAAAATGAAATATTTGCTTGGCATTGACTTTCCATGTATTCTTTGTAACAGTCCTAGAAATATCCACAATGGTCTGCTGATACTTAGCTTATTTTTATACCAGGGATTTTATTTTATATTATATATCTGCTTATGTCCTGCATGGGTCAAATTATCGATAGAATCAAAATGTTTTTTTGAAAAACGAATTACTTTAATTAGGACATACTGAACATTGATGCTTTTGGCCATTCCAAGATTTTTATTATTATTTTGTGAGCAATTCAAAAAAAAGTTTTTGTTTTTCCCCGACACTTGGAATCCTATTTGAGTATATCAATCTCAATGATAATTACACTCAATGGGTATTCTTACCTCAAAGGGTTTCTTTCCAGATGAACGTTTTGGTTTCTGGACTGTTGTTGTTTTTGGTATGAGATATATAGTGCTGACCCCTAGTGAGGCAATTGTGTGGCTCGCCTTATAGTCAATTGGTCGATTTGTTTCTTCTGATATTGCATTGATCACATGATCACTGGGAGAGAGCTTATTAGCTGATGTTATCTGGATGAGAAGATCCATAATTGGCGTCCTGAAAAATAAAACAAAAATAGAAACAGAATTCAAAATCCCAATCTTCTGGTGATTGTATCTTTGATATACATGAAAACATTTGTGGGAACCATTTCCAGTTATATCTGCTGAAAGTTAAATTACATTTTGAAAGAGTGGGTTATTCTACTTTAACAAGTTTTACTGTAATGGAAAAACAACAGACTGCAATTTATTGGTTTTGATGTAAAGCATATTTTCATAGATAACCTGTTACCATGTTTAATATGATATATCACATTCTTAACATTTCACACTTGAAGATTATATTTCATAAGTTAATAGCATATTGATGTTCATACAAGAGAACATACATTGAACACTGTAACTTATCCCAGCTTTTCAATAAAGTAGAAAATCATACATAAAACATATTGATATTATAACAGTTTTGCATAAATTTCAATGCAAATTATTAAAAGTGCATAATGTAGCAAATCATGCATTATTCCTCATAACAGATGATTAAATATTAAAATAAAAATTGAGATGAAACCCCGAAAGAACTAATCTACTAAATAATTTGTTCATTGGGATAATTAGAATTGTTAGAATCAACCAGGCATATTAGATCATATTCCCCACCTGACTTGGTAAATATCTAAAGATTACATGTTACATGCTAAGTTCAGGTTTTATGGGTATAAATGAATAATAGGCACAATGTAACACATAAAAAGTAAGCACAGTAAAGCCTGTCTTAGTGAACACCTCTCTCTAGTGAATACCTGTGTCTAGTGAACACATCTTGACAGTGCATATATAGACTATATAAAATTGCCTTTGTGGTGAACACCTGCCTTTTTCTGGCTCTTTAGGTGTTAATTGTAAGCAGGTTTTCCTACAGATGATGATTGATTGGATTGGATGGTCAACTTAATACCCCAAACTAATGAATATTTCAGAAGAGAATGCAACAGCAGCAACAACAATATGTTTGCTTGTGTAGTTTCCCACAAATGTGCACTCGATCAATAGTTTAAGATGGAAGCCCATGTTTAAAGCAATTACGAGTCAAGTAAAACAATTTATATTGACAGACTCTGGTGGACTATTTAATTTAAAGATATAGCTGTTGCAGCAAGATAAATATTGCCATTCACAGTGAGTTTCTTGATTTGATCAGCAGGAAATTATAATGTTGCAGAATCTTTACAACAGTACTTCTTGAGTGAGTCTAGGTTGCCTATATTCTTCAAAAAAAGCTTCTACCATTTCGAATGAATTGGGAGATAAATGTATAAAATATAAAGTAGATTCAAACATGTATTGCCATTAACACATTACTACCCCCTCCCTTCCCTCAATATAACATCCTACACCTGCTGGAAATGTTGGGAGGAGAAAGGCAGATATTTCATACAAAACTACATTAAACTGCATATTTAAGATATATACTTAAGCATTTTTGACAAAGAAGGCAAGGACAGTCCAGTATGACAGGCCCTCCCCCTAATCTAACAAGCCTGCTTCTGTGAAACTTACTGTGGGTCGACCAGCATCCTGATGGATCGTCTATCTGGGAGTATAACTGTCAACTCCAGGGGACCACCATCCTCTGAGTCTTCTATGGAATGTGCTGGGGAGTAAGATGTGTGTTGATGGAATGTTTCTGTATCCTGGGACCTCAGTCCCCTGTCCGCTATAGCTGTACTCATACTTTAGCTTGAAATAGAAAATGAAACTTAAAGAAATGTGTATAAATTAACATAGTGAGTGTTTTCATCCTATAGATACTTTTAAAAAATGTTGCCACAAAAGTATCCTCCCTTTCGTGTTTGTAATTTTTAAATTACAGTATATAATGAGGCATTGAAATGTCAGACCTTGGAAATTCAAATTGAAGACGTATGAAAGGTTATACCAGTATAACAAAAAGTAATCAACATAAGAGAATCATTTGATCACTGTAATACCTAAGTTTCATAATATTTCCTGCCATTGCATCACAGGTGCATCAATATGAAAAGTTTCAATAAGCCCCTATAATAAAGTCTCAAATTAATAATCAATTTCAAAATACACAATATGATCCATCTTGCTAGCCTTTATCAAGCTTCTGGCCAGTAGAACATAGTGATTGAGCGTGGGAATCAAAGATGAATATGATTGGTTATTGCACAATTCATAAAAGGAAATACCTCTTGTATAATAACTAGAGATGTCACGGAACAAAAAAATTGGAATGGTTCGGAACATTTTGCTTCGGAACGGAACAATTTCGGAACGGTTCAGAACAGAGTGACTGCGTGTATTAGATTAAAATAATCTGATCATCTAGGTCTATTTGGTAGCGAAAAGCTCTTCAAAACTCTTCAAAAAGAAGGAGTAAAAAGAATGAACCTCTTTTGATACAAAATATTGAAAGAAAAATGCTGTTTTGTGGAGATTCAAGGACCAGAAGTTGTGAAAGGGTAAAATGTTCTTGTTCCGGAACCGAACCGAAATTCTTAATTCTTGTTCCGTGTATATTTCTGAGGGCATAATTCCGCGAATCGGAACAAAATCGGGTATCTGTGACACCTCTAATAATTGTATAATTGTTATAGTATTTTCACTTAATTAAATAATCTATTTTTGGGAATTCTATCTTTTACTTTTTTCTTTTGGATATGATTCATATCTTTCCCTTTTACATAAATCTTACAACATTAGAGAAACATTAGATGCAATAAGAAGAGCATCTAGATCATAAAGTAAAATCCCCAAGCAAGGAATCAATTTGTGAAGATTCTACTTGAGTTATAACTTGTGCTAAAAGTCTGATATGAACATAAGTATATGATCAGTCTATCTGTGTCCTTTCCCTTAAAGTTGCATATAAGATTTGATTTCTTGTCATTTATATACTATATCTCTATCCTCTTTGCCATTGTATATTTCTATTATAACTTCCAGTATATTTAAAAAGATGAATTATGATCATGTTCTTTTATTGTAAGGCTTGAGTTTTATTCATGAGCCTTACTACTTTTTGACTACTTAAGTCGATCTACATCATTTTTATCTCAAAAAAAATTCCTTTTGCCTTACAGACATAAACATAAACAGTACGAACATGTTATTTTAAATTTTCCTTATTTCAATGATAATTATATCATTTCATGCAATCATTCCAGAAATGTCATCTACATAAATATTCCTTCTATTTTTGTGTTATAGCCATTGGGTTAGATGTCTCATTTCCTCATCTAGCCTGTATTCATGAAATATGGAGTTTCCTGAAGCAGTAAATTATTTATCGAAATACATCTTTTTAATATGAACACAACCAAACTCTGATTTCACCAGTGTTCACATTTTTAAGTTTATATGTTCACATATAAGCGTTCACATTTTGTTTTGAAGATGCCTACTTTGGCGATTGATTCTCAACATAATTTTCTGCAATTTCCATCGATCATCTTGGTGCGAAGTCCTGATTTTCAAATTTTGAACAGATTACTGCACCCAGTTGTTCTGATGTTTGAGTGATCATAATCATACATGTTTTTACATGTCATAAGTGCTTTAATGATGCATTATTGGCTAATTAGCCTGGAAGAAACTATATTATCACATAATAATGTCACATGGAAGGTTTGACATGAAACTTGATAAGGGACCCTAGAGGACTGGTCCATGATGTTGATTTTAGTCACTAGATGAAGACACAACATGAATATATAAAAGATACCATGAAAAATGTCAAAAAGCTAAATGAGAATCTTTGTATGTGGTTGTTCACTTATTTAGAAGAACAACGAAGTTACTCTACAAAATGGCATAATCTGTTTCACTAAATAAATTTAAAATTGCAAAAAATCACATTAAAAATTAGGTAATAAGTAATAGGTTGGCTAACATGGATGTAAGCAATAGATATTGTGTGGAATACAGAGCAACATTTTTAATAGAACCCCCAACGAGAATCAGCAACTTGGGAAATCTGAAATGAATTATCCATGACCATGTTTACCAGGTTCTTATTATTACTTACCAAAGGGCCCAATTTATAATATGTATTCCCTTACCTACCCAGGTATAAATAATCATGGGTGAATTTTTGAGGAAAGCAATGAAAATTGAGTAGAAAAGAACTCGGAGATATTAAGCCAATCAAAAAATATATAACTGACCACCAACCAAGAATACATGGCCGGCACTTCTCCATATTTTACAGTAGAGATTTACCAAAAACTGAGACATCTGGATTTTTTAAGGGTAAATTCTTATTAAAAGAGTGCTCTAGGGTCATACTAAGTCAAAAGGTGATTTACTGTCTATATACAACCCCAAGGCTATTAGTGATTTTGAATATTTTTTCTGAGATTTAATAGCTTAAAAACCATCTAGCATATTAAATAGTAGATACACTAAAAGGTCAAAACTGAGAATATACACACAATTAACATGTATATTCAAGATGTTAAAGATAACACAATGATTGTTTTCTCTGGGGAGAGATACATAAATAATGAACTGATTATTGTTCTAAAAACAATCCCAACCCTTTGAAAAAACAAAAAACAAAGATCAATTCCTTTGGGGACTGGCTGATAAAAATCAAAGCAATCAATATACCTTTACAAAATATAAAATTCTATATTATAGAACTCGATTTTATTGTGTCAAACAGCACCAAGTCACTTAGATGAATCATCATGTATCTATGCATACATTCAGCATCATGTCAATTATATAGAGATTATCTATATGAGGTAATATATCTGCCCGAGGATAGATGTATTATATTGGCCATGAGATAATCCCGATATCCTGAACCGACTATAGCATGATCTGTTTATCCCATACCAGTTTTGCTCATGTTTTTTTCTTGGCCTTAGTAGGAATTTTATATTCATCCATATTTATGTCATGGATCTTTGATTACTAACAGGGATAAGTATGCCCCTTCCCTTGTTTAAAACAGGTCGCGATTGTCTGCATTTATTTTCTATCGCTATTTACAGTAATTATGCGAACGATACAAAATTGCACCAACATTGGAACTATATATATATAGCAAAATATTTACGTTAAGCACCATAACAGGGAGACCAGAGAACATGATCATCATCAGGCCCATAGCCAGCTTTTGTCAAGAGGGGTCTTCAAAAATTCCAGGGGGCCCACATTTGAGAATGTTAGCCCAAAATCAGTTGGAAAGTACTCAGAATGATGAAAAACTGCTTGATATTGAAAGACTCTTTGGCCAAGGGAGGATTATTCCTCCCCCCCCCTCTCTCCCTTGGCTACATGCCTGATCATTCTTCAACTTCTGCAAAAACATGTATAATTGAGTGTAACTGAAAGTGTTACAGGGCATTTATGTGCAATATCTTGCAAGTTCAGGTTTTTCACATTGCAACCTTCTGCCCTGTCAACCCTCACGCATTAGGTGCCATGCCGAACGGCGAAAAAAAGCGAACGCATTCCGTTCGGTCTTTGCACGCGATTGCTGTTTATGTCACGCATTTGTTTCGAATATATTTACACCTACCCTTTCTCTGGTGTTGTAAGATATCACATATACCAAGGTTCGTTCGTATCAATATCATTTAGCATCTATCACTTATAACAATATTTCTACATGAAACAGAGTAAGCTCATCATACCACAATGTACATTTTAGCACCAGGATATACCAAATACATAATAATTATAATGCATAATTTATATATACAAATATATATGACAATGATACATAAACAATGATTTATAACCAGTACCATCAAATGTGCGATTATATATAACCAATTGACAAAAAATACATGAATGAAAACACTTGCTTTATATACTATGGCCTACAATGAAATCATAATAAATTACGTACCTTTCACTTATAACCATAAATGTTAATGAGCTCCTCATATGGCAGATAAAATTGAATTAATACATCCTGTCAAAGTTTTATACTTATGACCTGTCAATTTGTACAAATCAATTAGAATTATGAGGTCACAGAGACCTCAAGAATATACATGTAATAAATAAGTCATAAGTATAAAATTAAAGTGAAATACAGACATGAAGGAATTACGTATTATTAAAAACTTACTGTACTTTGAGCCTTTTAAGGGTTCGGCCTGTCTTGTTTTGAGATTTCTCACATAAACCATTTATATTTGAAATTCTTTTTATAGTCATGAATGAACACATCCCAAGAAGATGTCAGCATGATCAAAAACTCCTACCAGTTTCCGTTCTAGGTGTTAAATAGAAATATGTGACAAGTATCAGAATGAGAAAACCTAGTCAATTACGAAAAGTTCCAGATTGCCTCAATTTGACTTAATTCTTACTTCTTAACATAGAAACCCAGTTTAGCGATCGTGAAATCTGAAGTTTATCTTGAAATATTTTCTCCTATTTCATAGTTATCTTGAGTTACAATGACATGGTGTGTCACAACTTAAAACTTGAATGCCACTCAAGATCTGATATAAATGTCTGAATTTTTTTTTAACTTGAAATCCAAATATCCAAATAAAAGATCAGTTTTAAAATCACATTCATTTTGCCCATCATGGTACTCTATATGGTAATTTCAATCCATAAGGAACATCCTCCAAATGCAGGGATATACAAAGTAGATGATGTCTGGACCCCAGCATTCAATGGATGGAAAGGATATGTGAGGAGTATCAAAATGATATTAGCTGATGAGCTTTTGATCAGTATAC